TGAGGACAAAAGTGTGCCTAATACAAGCCATAGTATTTTCAGTCACCTCTATGCATGTGAGAGCTGGACAGTGAATAAGGAAGACCAAAGAGTAGATGCTTTTGAGTTGTGCTGGCAAAGAATGTTGAAAGTACCATGGACTGCTAAAAGAACTAATAAATCTGTCCTGGAAGAAGTGCAGCCGAATGCTCTTTGGAAGTGAGAATGGCCAGACATTGTCTTACCTACTTTGGTCATGTTGTCAGAAGGAACCATTCCCTAGAGAAGGACGTCATGCTTGGTATGTAGACGAAAGAGGTATGCTTGGAGTATAGACGAAAGAGGGGAAAGCCCTCAATGAGATGGATTGACACAGTGGCTGCAGCTATGGACTCAAGCATAGCAAGGATCATGGAGCTGGCGCGGGACCAGGCAGTGTTTCATTCTGCTGTGCATGGGGTCACTATGAGTTGGAGATGGCTTGATGGCACCTAACAGCAACAACATTGAAGAAGAACAAAGTAGGAAGTCTCACAGTCCTACATCTGAAAACCTCCCGTACAGCCACAGTAGTCAGGACATCTTGGTATTGGTACAAGAACAGACACATAGGCCAGTGGAAAAGAATTGAGAACCCAGAAATAGATCCATTGACTAATCCTCAGCTGATTTTTGACAGAGGGCTGAAATCCATTTAATGGGGCAGAGGAGACCTCTTTGACAAATGGTGCTGGTAAAACTGGATATATATTTGCAGAAAAATGAAGTGAGATCCATAAATCATACCATACACAAAAACTAACTCTAGATGGATCAAAGACTTAAATGTGAAACCTAAAACTATAAAGTTCTTGAAGGAAAAAATAGGGGCAAATTTAGGGGCCCTGGGAGCTCTGGTGGCATAGTGCCTAAGGCATTTGACTGCTAACCAGAAGGCTGGCGGTTCAAACCACCAGCCACTCCTCGGAAGGAAGGTTGGGCAGTCTACTTCCGTAGTGATAGTACCTCGGAAACCCAAGGAGGGGTCACTGTGTCAGATCTGACTCGACAGCAGTGGGTTTTTTTAATATATATGGCATAAATAGACTATCAAGCATAACCCAAAATATACAAACAGCAGAAGAGAAACTAGATGGATGGGACCTTCTAAAAATTAAATTTTTATGTGCTTCAAAAGTCTTCCCCAAAAGAGTGAAAAGAGAACCTACAGGTTGGGGAAAAAAAAATATTTGGCAACGATATATCTGACAAAGGACTTATCTCTAAAATTTATAGAAAACTCCAACACCTCAACAACAAAAAGTCAAATAATCCAATTAAAAATGGGCAAAAACATGAATAGACATTTCATCAAAGATAATATTCTGGCAGCCAACAAACACATGAAGAAATGTTCACAATCATTAGCCATCAGAGAGATGCCAATCAAAACAACAATGAGATACCATCTTGCCCCAGCACTAATAGCAAAGTTCAACCAGAGAGAAAAAAATGCTGGAAAGGATGTGGAGAGGTTGGGACTTTCATACACTGCTGTTGGGACTGTAAAATAATACTGTCACAGTGGAAAGCAGTATGTTGATTCCTTAAAAAGTTGGAATTAGAAATACCATTTGATCCAGGAATCCCATTACTAGGTATATATCCTAAAGATGTGAGAGCCTGGACAAGAGCAGATATATGCACACCCATGTTCATCGCAGCACTATTTACAATAGCCAAAAGATAGAAACAACTTAGATGCCCATCAACAGAAGAATGGATAACCAAACTGTGGTACATACACACAATGGAACACTAAATGAAACACTAAAGAATAATGTAGAATCTGCAAAGCACTGCATAAAGTGGATGAACTTGGAAGAACATCATGCTGAGTGAAATAAGTCAGTCACAGGAGGACAAATACTGTATTAGTTCATTATTGTAAATAGTCAAGGAAAGGTTTATATATGAAAGGAAACTTTCTTTGTTGGTTACCAGGGGTGGGAGGCAAGGAGAGGGGAGGGAACACTGCAAAAATAATAATCATAAAGAGGAAAAAAAATTCTCCATCACAATTGGCATAACGCACTACCCAAAAACATTGTTCTACATCCTACTTTGGTGAGTAGCAACTGGGGTCTTAAAAGCTTGCAAGCCGCCATCTAGAGGCAACAATGGGTCTCTCCTTATCTAAAGCAAAGAAGAATGAAGAAAACCAAAGATTCATGGAAACAGTTAGTCCAAGGGACTAACAGACCATGTGAACTTCAACATATATGACCATGAGACCAGAAGAACTAAATGGTACTCAGCTACCAATGTCAACCATTCACATCAGTGCAGGAGATCCTGAATAGAGTGGGAGAACAATGTGGAACAAAACTCAAAATAATAAGGAAGACCAGGTTTGCTGATCTAATAGAGCCTGGTGAGATTCCCATTAATTATGGCCCTTAGTTACCCTTCAGGTCTGGAATTGAACTCACTCTGTGACTTCCAGCCAAACAATAGGCATATAGGGTCAACATTTACATCAGGTAGATACACCCCTTAGAACAATCAATTGTGGGAAAATGGAAGGGCAGTATTTGCACAGAGAGATAGCTCAGGGGGGCTAGAATGCTCAGGAAAGAAGGACAAGAGAAGAGGTAAAGACAGGGAGGAAGTCAAAAGGGAGCTGTTACATTGTGGGGAAGTGCAGTCAATGACTTGAAATAAAATGTGTATGTGTATGAACTGCTGTATGGAAAATGAATTTGCTCTGTAAAATTTCACCCAAATCACAATAAAAATTAATACTATATATATTAATTTTTATAATTTATGTATATATATGAAATACTACCTACTATCCAGGGTTGTTATGGGAATCAAATAGTGTTTGTAAAGCTTTTCCCAAAAAAAAGAAAAATTCTCTTTTAGTGTTAATCAGATTCTTTTTTTCTTTCTTTTATTTTTTTATTTTTTGCAGTGTTCCCTCCCCTCCCACCCCTGGTAACCAACAAAGAATATTTCCTTCCATTATTAACCTTTGCTTGACTTTTTACAATAACTAATACAGTATTTGTCCTTCTGTGATTGACTTATTTCACTCAGCATAATGTCCTCCAAATTCATCCACGTTATGCAGTGTTTTGCAGATTATACATTATTCTTTAGGGTTGCATGGTATTCCATTGTGTGTATGTACCATAGTTTGGTTATCCATTCCTCAGTTAATGGACACCTAAGTTGTTTCCAACTTTTTGCTATTGTAAATAGTGCTGTGATGAGCATGGGTGTGCGTATGTCTGTTCTTGTCATGGCTCTCACTTCTTTAGGATATATACCTAGTAATGGAATGGCTGGGTCAAATGGTATTTCTATTTCAAACTTTTTAAGGAATCGCCATACTGCTTTCCACAGTGGTTGTATCATTTGACAGTCGCACCAGCAGTGTATGAGAGTCGCAATCTCTCCACATCCTCACCAGCATTTGTTATTTTCTGTCTTGTTGAACTTTGCTACTAGTGCTGGGGCAAGATGGTCTCTTATTGTTTTGATTTATATCTCTCTAATGGCTAATGGGAGCTCTGGTAGCATAGTGCCTAAGGCATTTGACTGCTGACCAGAAGGCTGGTGGTTCAAACCCACCAGCCACTCCTCAGAAGGAAGGTTGGGCAATCTACTTCCATAGTGATACCACCTCAGAAACCCAAGGATGGGTCCCTATGAGTCGGATCCGACTGGATGGCAGTGAGTTTGGTTTGGTAATGGCTAATGATCATGAGCATTTCTTCATGTTTGTTGGCCGCCTTATATCCTCTGGTGAACTGGTTCTTACTTCCTTAGGATATATACCTAATAGTGGGATTGGTAGATCAAATGGTATTTCTAATTCCAACTTTTTAGGACTCACCATACTGCTTTGCACAGTGGTTGTATCGTTTTACGGTCCCATCAGCACAAACCTGAAAAAGAGGTATTATAAGCTATAAAATTTAGTGTAGAGGGACTTAAAAAGCCACTTTTGTATGTGATACATAAGCCAGTAAAGAGTGCTGTAATTCATAAGCTTTCTGATAGCATATTAGAGTTCCAGTCTCTCCATATTCTCGCCAGCATTTATTTCCTGTCTTGTTGAACTTCGCTATCTTGTTGAACTTTGGTATCTTGCTGTTTTAATTTGCATTTCAATCAGAGATTCTTAAATACTAAGATATATATTTTATCATTTATAGTATGACATGTGAATTAGATGTCATAATTAATTACCACAGGAAATACCAAAATGTATAATTTTTCTCATCTTACCTGCGTCTGACCCTGGATGAAAACCGAGTTTACCACCTTTTATTTTTTTTCCCACCATCCTTGGGACATGAGGGGCAAGGTGGTGGGATCCCGTTCCATTAGCCCATCACATTTCTCCCACAGAAAAGGGGCCTAGAAGAGCAAGTGCTGGCCGCCAGAAAGGACCAGAGTCCTGTGCTTTGGGCTGGGTTTTCCTGTTGTACCCAACATCTCCCCTTTTATTTTAAACACCAAAGCAACAGCACAAACTCCAGCCATTCAGAGCTTCAGAAGCCTTGGCCTATGTCCACCAAGAGGCTCAGAGATGCCTGAGTAGAGATGCTGTTGGTCTTTCCCACCTAGTTCCTCACATCTGTGAACTTGCAAGCACATTGTGACAAAGACCACACCGAGCAACTGACACCTGATACCTCATTCACTTTTCCCAGTGACTTTGGGAGGTGTTTTTTTCCCTGCTTTACTGTTGAGGAAACTCAAACTGGGAGAAACTGAGACATTTGGTCCAGGTTTTAGATTGAAAATGGTAAGATTGCAAAATGAGGTTTGAATCTAGGGGTCTCAGATTCTTTTCCACTGTGCCAAGATGGCTTCCATTTGACTCAGCTGGGTACAAGCAAGTTCATGGAGCTACTGGCAAAACCATCCTACTCTAGTAGAGTGTTTGCTATAGAAGTGGACAGTTTATCCTGTAGGTACTTTGATTTTTCTCACATGGAATTCAGCCACTGTTCATTATCTTGCAGAGCCTAATGCTGGACAGATCCAAGAAGGAATTGGAGAAGCTGTGAACAATATTGTGAAACATTTTCACAAACCTGAAAAAGAGGTATTATGAACTATAAAACTTAGTATAGCGGGACTTGTAAAGCCACTTTTGTATGTGATACGTAAGGCAATAAGGAGTACTTTAATTCATAAGCTTTCTAGTAGCTGGAAAAGCATGGTCTATATAGTTACCCTCAGCACTCTAGTGTTTCTCTAGTGTTTTTCTTAGACACAGCAGATTATTCTTCAACACTGTACGTTATATTCCACAGAGAGGAAGCCTGACAGTATTGCTGTGTGGAGAAAATGGCCTGGTTGCAGCACTTGAGCAAGTTTTCCATCATGGGTTCAAATCTGCTCGCATCTTTCACAAGAATGTTTTTATCTGGGACTTTATAGGTAAATAAAGCAAATATATGTTAGGTCACTGAAATGTTTCTTAGACAACTCAAAGACCCAGCTATTTGAGTGAATGAGGAAGTATGTTTTTAAAAATGAGCACTGTCTTGGTTTTCATTCATGCAACAAATACTGATAGTGTCTATCTATAATATTCCAAACACTATTTTAAATGCTTGGGATACACATCAATAATCAAAATAGATAAAAATCTCTATGATTGACAAACTTACATTCTGGTGGGGATGGGAGGGGATACAAACAATACACAAAAGCATAACAAATATGTAATTTATATGGTATATTAGAAGTTGATCACTGATCTGGAAAAAAAAAAAAATAGAAGAGGGTAAAAGAAAACAGTAGATGTTTCTGGGTGGTATAAACAGCTAACACACTGAGCTGCTCATCAAAGACTGGAGATTCTTGTCCTCCCAGAGGTGTTAATGGAAGAAAGGCCTTGAGGTGTACTTGTTAAAAATCAGCCATTGAGAACCCTAAGGACCACAGTTCTACTCTGACTCAGTGGCAACTAGGAAGAACAGGGAAAAGAAAATTGAATGGGGAGTGCACTTGTAAATAAGGTAGTTATAGGCTTTGTTGATTTGACATTTGAGTTGAGCAAAGACTTTTAAGAAAGTGAGAGAGTAACACTCCTGTCACTTCCAGCCAAACAGTAGACAGGCATATGGGGTGAACATCAGGTAGAGAAACTCCTTGGAGCCATCAGTTACAGGAGAACAGAAGGACAGTGTTTGCACAGGGAGATAACTTGGGGGGCAGGAGTTCATGGGAGGGAAGGACACGGGAAAGAGGTAACTACACAGGGAGGAAGTGGGAAGAGAACTATTACATTGTGGGGAACTGCAGTCAATACCATAAAACAAAATGTGTATGAACTGCTATGTGGAAAATGAATTTGCTCTATAAACTTTCATCCAAATCACAATAAAAATTTAAAAGAAAAGAAAAAGGGAGTGAGTTATATGGGTTGACATCTCGGAGAAAGGCACTCCTGGCCAACTCTAGAAGCCTGAGTAGGAATATGCCTGGCCTTTTCATGGAAAAGCGAGAGGAGGCCAGTGTGCCTGGAGCGGAAGGAGGGAGGGAGTTGGAGGAGATGGTGATGGAAAGTATAATGCCAGGGCTTTAATGGGTAGGATCACTGGAAGGACTTTGGCCTTTATTCTGAGTGAAACAGAAAGCCATTAGAAGGCTTTGAACTGAGGAATGACTTGATAGAACATACCTTTTAAGATCATTCTAGCCCTGTGCTGTCCAATACCGTAGCCACTAGCCACTGATGGCTAGTTTTATTTAAATTAAAAATTCATTTTTTCAGACACACTGGCTGCATTCTAAATGCCCAGCAGCCATGTAGCTGGTGGTCACTGTATTGGACAGCACAGATAGAGAACATTTCCATCATCGCAGAAAGTTCTGTTGCATGGTGCTGCTATAGTCTGCTAAGCTATGTAATCTTTTTTTTGGTATGCAACTCTTCTAGAATTCCCAGGTTTCTTTAACAAACAACAAAAAAAACTTCACTGCCGTTGAGTGGGATCTGACTCATAGTGACTCCTCCTTGGGTTTCTGAGGCAGTATCACTACAGAGGTAGATTGCCCAACCTTCCTTCTGAGGAATGGTTGGTGAGTTTGAACTGCCAGCCTTCTGATTTAGCAGTCAAATGCTTTAGGCACAATGTCACCAGAGCTTCTAGGTTTTTTTAAGGGGTAATTAATCATGTTTTGTAAATAAGGCTGATATCAAGGAGTTGAGGAGCTCTGGTAGCATAGTACCTAAGGCACTTGACTGCTAACCAAAAGGCTGATGGTACAAACCCACCAGCTACTCCTCGGAAGGAAGGTTGGGCAATCTACTTTTGTAGTGATACTGCCTCCGCAACCCAAGGAAGGGTGGCTATGAGTTGGGGCCAACTCCACAACTCCACGGCACATAACAACAAAAACAACAATCAAAGAGTTGATTTTATCTAACTTGGAATTTTTTGGTTTAAGAAAGGAAAGTTGACAGAGCTAGGCTTCCAAGTTTTGGTTTTTTTTTTTTCCTTCCTCCTGAAAGCCTAGAATTTTATTGGCTTTGCTTCTGATAGGTATATATGTATTTCTCTCTCAGATTTATTAAGTTGCATTACAAGGATCTTATTGGGGGCGCCATCTCCCTGGCTACCATGTCTTTACTGCTTCTAAAAGGTTCCAATTTTAACAGAAGAGTTTTTATTTCTATCTATTTTTGCCAGTTCCCATTTTGTAAAGGTATTTTAAAGACAGTAAACTTTCCACCCTTCTGGGGTACAGGCTAGATTAGAATAATAAATTCCTGAGAGCATATTATTCTACCGTGAAATGTAGACCTTTGGGATTAGTTCTGAAGCCAGTGATAAAGTAATGCTTTGGCGTTAGATCTGGCTATAGTGCAAAAGCATCATTAGTATTTCCAGAGTAAACAAAATAATAAATCTTTCTATATATGAACTGTTGTGTGTTATAATGTGATTCTGACTTCCTTCCCCAGAGAAAGCCGTTGCTTATTTTGAAAACACTGACCAGATTCTAGACAATGAAGATGATGTCCTAATTCAGAAATCATCCTGCAAAACCTTCTGCCACTATGTACATGCTATTAATACTGCACCCAGGAACATTGGAAAGGACGGCAAATTCCAGATTTTAGTTTGCCTTGGAACACGGTATAAAACAATTCTTGACTTTCTTTCTCTTTGTTATATGTTGAATAAGAGTCCAGAAAGGGTTATACCCAGATCGTGCCCCTTGCGAAAAGCTCTTTCTTGGGTTTCTTTCATTCCAAGTTTTATGAGACTAATATTTATTAGATACCAGCCATTCCTTAGGAGCTCTGGTAGCATAGTGCCTAAGGCACTTGACTGCTAACCAGAATGCTGGTGGTTCAAACCCACCGGCCACTCCCCAGAAGGAAGGTTGGGCAATCTACTTCTGTAGTGATACTGCCTCAGAAACCCAAGGAGGGGTCACTAAGAGTCAGGTCCAACTGGAAGGCACATAACAACAACAATAACAGCCATTCGGTGGGAGCTCTGGTGGTGTAGTGCCTAAGGCATTTGACTACTAACCAGAAGGCTGGCAGTTCAAACCTACCAGCCGCTCCTTGGAAGGAAGGTTGGGCAATCCACTTGCATAGTGATACCGCCTCAGGAACCCAAGGAGGAGGGATCACTATGAGTCAGAGCCAGCGCAGTAGCAGTAAGTTTAGTTTTTTAGTTTAGCCACTCCTTGGTAGGAAGATTGCGCAATCTACTTCCCTAGAGATGACCGCCTCAGAAGCCCAAGGAGGGCTCACTGTGAGTCGGATTTGATTCGACAGCAGTGAGTTCGTTTTTTTGGTATGTTAGACACTGTGCTAAGTCCTTTATTGTTGTTGTTGTTGTTGTGTGCCGTCGAGTCAGACCTGACTCATAGTAACCCGTCCTTGGGTTTCCGAGGCAGTATCACTACGAGAGTAGATTGCCCAGCCTTCCTTCTGAGGAGTGGCTGGTGGGTTTGAACCGCCAGCCTTCTGGTTAGCAGTCAAATGCCTTAGGCACTACGCCACCCGAGCTCCTGCTAAGTGTTTTAGATACTATTAACTCATTTAATCATACCAACACCACTCTTATGAAGTACCAACTGATAGCCACATTTTATAGATGAGAAAATCAAAGCACAGGTAAGTTAAGAAATTATCCCCAGGAGTTCTGGCAAGATGGTGGACTAGGCAGAAGGACTGCAAAGATGCTCTTCAACAAAGAAAAGGGAAACCAATTAACACAGGCACAGAAGATAATCTTGGGCCCCTGAGCCTTGAAGGGAAGGATACAAAAGTGGACTAAACTCCAACTAGCAGAAGAATTTGCGTGAAAATTCCAAAAAAGGAGACACACAGAGCTGCAGTCTGACAGTGGCCTGAGCAACCCTGACGGCACAGACGACAGGGATTGGAGATTCCTGAGTGGTGGTAGGACCTAAGAATTAACCCAAAAATCACCCTGCTAGCCAGGGACTGCACGGAAGACTCTGTACGGTGGCTGGGGAACAAATGGAGAAGGTGAAGAGAAAGGTGGGCTGAGCTGTGGACTTTTGCCAATCCAGAGGGCGCCACCATTTTGTAGGTTTAAAAAGCGGCTTGACTATTTTGGATATTCAAAGAGACAGTGCTGTAGCAGATTTCTGGGGCTTAAGAACACATTCTTCTTTCCAGCAACCCCAAGGACACTCGGAGCCTGCATGACTGAAGAGGTACGCCATTCTTCTTGTTACTACACCCTACACCCGCTTGGTGAATGGAGGTGTGGCCATCTCCACTCCCACCTACCTTCTGGGCCCACAGGAACTCCATCACAGTCTGTGTGCTCAGACAGAGCCTGGGTGCCCTACCTGGGCTTCCACCGATTTTT